CTGAAGCGTAGGAGTAGTTAGCGCAACGATGCCCACTCTTTTAGTAATGGGTAATACACATCTCTTACTAAATTCTTTACCCCATTCCAGTATTTCCCCCTTAGTCCAGTCAATATGAGGATTATGATTAACAAGCCATGGGAATCCTAGTATAATGGGACAAGAAGGGGAAACAATTATCTGCAATGTAATGCTTTCTTAATGTAAAGCTCCTATAGTAACAGGGATATGCAGTGTTTTGTGGGTAATTAGAGGTTGAGAGAGGCTCCCTTCAATGGCCTTGACGATCTCTCCTTGATGGGTAGGAGGTGTTTACTGGCAAATTGCATGTCAATAAAAAATTTTGCAGCACCTGAGTCCATCAGGGCTCTACATGAAAAATGTATCTTGTTGCATCGAGCAGTAAAGGAGAAATCTACTTTGGGTAGTACCAGAGGACATATCTATCACACCTATGACCTATTATGGTTCTTAGGTGTGCAAGTTTTCCGGACGTATGGAACAAGCATTTCTCATATATCCTTTCTTGCCACATTATAAGCAAAGTTTCCTCCTAAACAATTTTTCTGCCTCTGACAGTCTCATAACCCCTAACTGCATAGGTTCGGTTTTAGACTGCATAGGTGGGTCAGAAACAACAGGACTAGAGAAGGGAGGTGCCATGACATATTCATACGTCTGGTTCTATTTCTAGTTATCTCCCTGTTCCTAAGTCAATTATCTATATGCATCACGTAAGTGATGTATTCATTTAATCTCCCTGGTAGTTGTTTATCTGCAATCTCATCAAGGATAGCTTCTGATAATCCCTCTGAGAATGTGGTGATTAACCCATTATTAGTCCAGTCTACGTCAGAAGCCATACTAAGTTGGCATAAAATCCAATAGTCCAAAGTCTTACAGTTTCTCCAGGACGCATTTTGCCGTACAGGCTTCCTCAGCTGGATGTAGTGATGAAGTCTCTAGTGGATTTTCCCTGCTATATGTACCCCTCTAAGGGGTAGATGATTGGTGTCCAGCTTGTATTTTCGCGGGCAATCACCATAGAAACGGTGACGCCCTGCGTTTCAAGCCTCTTCTATTTACTTCCGGGTTTGTGTTCTGTCGCGTCATTTCCGGCTTTTCTTTACTTGCCGATATGTCATTTCCTTGCGTTCCACCATGCGGTTCACTCATTCTTTTAATGGGATTTCCGGACCGGGATTTTCCTAAAAGGTGGTGGAATACAATTGTATATATTGCAGATTAATACGAAAAGCAAGAGAATTTTAAACATATTGTTTTAAACCCAGACTGTTTCATTCTCAAATTCTTTTGAACAGAAAAAATAAAACGAATATAAAATTGATTCCTCATCTGGTATTTCTTTTAATTTATTCTATTAATTTTTCTCCATAAAGGGTAATATTCTATACTTTATCTTTCGAATACAATATAGAGCTCATCTAAGATTATTTAAAATTACTGTATTTCTGGAAGAGTCAGCCAATACAACTATTAATATACACCTAAAATCATAATTCGATGGCATTCTATGGAAAATTAATATTAATTAAGAATTCATATAACTGATACATTTCTTAAAGAGGTATAGTGAAATCTGGTTATAGTTAGAATATATTAAAACAGAATTTTCTTTATAGCATACAAATATAAAACAAGTATAAACCACATGGCTCTGGAGGGCCAGAAAGAAAGCAGGGGGAGTGCCTGGCTCATGAGGCAGCCCCCGCTGACCGGGATCAACGCGGATCGCTGGTTCAGGTAAGTTAATGGCGGCCGGGGAGTAAATATTGCGTTTAGGCTCACTTAATGTGGGACGGCATAGTACACCCTAACATTAATTAGATAGTTATAAATTTTTCCTGACATGAACAACCCCAAGAGATAAATTGACCCAGCTACTAATCAATAGTAAGATTATGCAGTGATAACCAGGGGTATCCCAAAACAATTTGAGAAGAGGGATACAAAATTACTTGAAAACACAGTCTTTCAGTGTGCAGTAAACCTGAACACATATCTAGTAACTTAGTCTCATGAGTTATCATAGGATAACAAACAATGTTATCACAACTTGTGCCTGCACTTATGCTGACATACCTAATTGATGCATAAATTATCCATGCTTACTTAGTAAGAGTACAGTGGAGATTAAATAGTCAAAGCTCAGTTATGTTTTCAACCTAGTGGAGTTACCATGATTATTAGAGCTCACCCAGCACAGTTCTCTATAGCTCCCACGTGGGGGGACAGAGTGGTCATACTCTCTTATTTATCTAGCGAGGGGCTCCGCATACACTCTCTCATTTAAACACAGCAATAAAACTACTACCACGCTTAGCCAGACACCTAATGCAGAATGTAGTGTGATGCCTGCACTGCCTTGAATTAGCATATAGCCTCTCATGCACACATACCATGTTTAATTGTTAGTTGTGCACACATGCATACTGTTCTATCTTGTTTAATAGTATTGTATGCACAAGCCACGTAAAATTCTCATGTATAAACTGTCCATCCATGTTCTCAGCAGTGGCGGATCCTGAGCCTGATCTCGGGAGGGGCACTTGTAGATTATTTAAAGAAATAATCCAGGCACAATAACCACTACAGCTTAGTTTAGTGGTTATGGTGCCAGTAGTTCCAGGACCCCATCCCAGTATAAGTAGTCAAACTGTTTCTGAACAGTTTGACAACTTACCGGGGGGTCTGCTGGGATATAGGGCATAGGAGCAGTGGTATGTGTGAGGGGTGCAGTGTGTGTGGGGGGTGTAGTGTGTGAGCGGTGAAGTATGTGTGTGAGTGCGTGAGGGCGGCAGTGTATGTCAGGGGTGCAGTGTGTGTGTTAGGGGGTGTAGCGGAGCTCCCTGTACCCCGGCTGGGTACCTCCGTCAAAGGACCGCTTCCTAGCTGGAACGGGGGCAAACTGCAAGACTCTCCTGCAAGCTGGACCAGCAGACACAGGAGCAAATCTTTTTTCCCTCCAATAACAGGATGACACACAGTTTTGGAGTGTAAGCAGGAACAGGTTTAATGAGCCCAAAGGCTTCATACAGTTTTCCCCACAAGGTTACCACCCACGTGGACCACGTGACCCACAACAGCCAATCAACACAGTATTGTACAGTTAGACACTCCCAGCTAATGTACACAAACCCGCCCTCCGCCTGTGATACAATTACCAAACACAATGGACTAACTCAATTACCACAGGCAGAGAATATCCAGTTTTACCCAAAGTCCAGAAACACCCCAAAACAACAACATATCCCCATAAATTCTACATCCTGGGATAGCCCTGATCTGGGTGAACAACATATCCAAAAACCCAAAAGGCCAGTTTAAACTGGTCTGGCAGAGTCCCTGGGACAACGCCCTGCTGGAGAAACAATAGGACAGGAAAAAGGGGGAGGGGAAGAGGCACGTTTTCTCATGGATTTAAAGGGACAGAAAAAGTGTTTTAAAATCCAATAAGCCCAAATAGACTGCTTAAACTGCAATCGATTGTACAACTCCTTGGTAAAACATAACATTCAGGTTGCTTTTTTACAGGAAACCCATTGGCTTAAGGACTCTAGACAAAGTTGGGGTGGAGACAAATATTCAAAAATTATTCATGCTTCCTTAACGGATAAAAAAAAAAAAAGGGGTTGCACTTGTATTCAACTAAGATCTTAAACTGGATATTATACATTTGGAATTGGATCCAGACGCTAGGTTTATTATTTTGGTCTGCAATATCGATAATAGGATCTATACTTTAGTTAATGTATACCTTCCTAATGTCGATCCAATGGCTAAATTCTCTGTTATAATGGATAAAGTTGACAAGATCTTTAAGGGCTTTTTGATTATTGCTGGTGACTTTAATTGTGTTAATGACCCCAAATTAGATAAGACAGCTATATCTTCACCCATGAATAATAAAAGAATCATTTAACAGGCCAAAAAATTACATAGCATTTGTAAACAATTTAATCTTTATGATATCTGGAGACTATTACATCCCCTTCAAAAAGATTACTCTCATTTATCTAGTGTTCATGGTACCTATTCAAGGATTGATTATTGTCTAACCAATTTGAACACAATTCCTCTTTTTAAATCTATTACTATCAAGGAAAATCCTTGGTCTGATCACAGCTTTGTCTTATTTGATCTCGGTAACAACCCCCCTTGTCACGTACCACCTGGAGACTGAACAATTCCCTTATTAAAGATGATCAAAATAGGGAAGAGCTGTCCAAGTTACTAGATTATTTTTGGGCTGAAAATAATCCGGCTGATACTTCCCCTCTGACTAATTGGTGTACTCACAAATCTGTCATGAGGGGTTATCTAATCAAAATGGGTTATACTTATAAGAAAAAGAATTTAAAATATCTATATATTGAATTTTACTCCTGCTCTTATTTAAATAAACAATATTCCACTCTAGATTTAAGAACCGTTTAAAATACCTACAACAACCAATCAATTTAAAGGAAGAAGAAAAGATTAAGATCAATATAAATAAATTAAAGTTAAATAATTACCATATGGGCAACAGAGCTAACAAAAACTTAACAAAAAGACTTCAAAATCACTATGCGAAGAATAGGGTAGAAAAATTGGTGATTGATCACATAGTTTATTCCACTCCTTCTCAAATAGGACAAAAATTCAATCAATTTTATCAAGAACTATACAATTTAAAATTGTGCTAAAAAATAACGGATATTCAAAATTATATATATAATACACTAATCCCAAAAATTACTTCCCAAGATTTGTCATCTCTAAATAAGAAAATCTCTATGGATGAAGTTCAGTTCCAAATAGATAAATTAGCCACAAATAAAATGCCGGGGCCTGACGGCTTCACAAATTTATATTACAAATTTATGAAGTCCCATTTATTAAACCCTATAACTCGATTCTTTAATCAAATTGACAAAAATAATATTTTACCAAAAGAATTGTTACAATCCAACCTTGTTCCTATTTTGAAACAGAATAAAGACGGCACAGACCCTAGAAATTATAGACCGATTGCGTTAATCAATGTAGACATGAAGACATACTCAGCTATTATTGCTGAGAGAATTAAAAGCGTTATATCAAAACTTATCCACCGGACCAAATTGGGTTTATCCCTGGCAGATGGGCATCAAATAATTCTCGTAGACTGATTGATATCATTGACTGGACCAAAAGACACAATATTCCCCTCCTGGCCCTGTGTTTAGACGCTGAAAAAGCGTTTGACAGGGTCGGGTGGGGATATTAAGTGAAGTTTTGAAGGCATTCGGCTTTAGGGGATGGATATACGGTGCAATCTTAGCTCTGTACTCTGCCCCCTCAGCCAGAACAGTGGGTCCGAATATAACTGCGGGCTGGTTCGATCTTAAAAATGGTATTAGGCAGGGGTGTCCTCTCTCGCCCCTCCTGTATATTTTATCGCTTGAACTCCTGGCTATCAATATTAGGAACAACTCATTAATTAAGGGTGTCAACATGAAATCAAGTGATATTAAAATTTCTCTATAAGCGGATGACGCTTTAGTTATTTTGACATCCCCTGAGAAATCACTCCAGCCCTTAATGTCCGAAATTGATAGATATTCTAATATATCCAATTTTAAATTAAATATTTCAAAATCGACAGCTCTATGCATTAATATGTCCTTAGATCAGATTGATAAGTAATCTCAGAGATACAAATTTATTTGGACAGATAAGGAAATAAACTACTTGGGTCTAACTATTCCTGCAAATGTCTCGACTATAATGGAGAGAAATGCTCTGATCTTAATGAAAAATATGAATCTTGATTTAAAAAAATGGCAAAATCTGGAAACTTTGTGGATAGGTAGAATTAATATTATAAATTCCTACATTTTACCTAAATGGTTATATTTTTTTTCTATGGTCCCTCTAAAAATGCCCCAGCCTTGGTTAGCAATGATTCAATCAAGTTTTAACAATTTTATTTGGAGGAATAAAAAACCTAGAATTAGCCAGAAAATTTTATCTAAAAAGATATCTCAGGGTGGCTTTAGTTTCCCAAGTATTACTTATATTTATTTCGCTAATATTATTCACCATATATATATTCTTCAAGATCCACAGGTTTTCAGAACTTAAGAAAATTCTGGGTTTTCCACAATTAATCCAAAGATCTTGTAAACTTAATATATTAGAATGTACTATAGATGATTTTTCTTTGAGACACTGGGGAAACAATGATTCATTAATTATCTCGGATATTATGCAAGGAGATACTATTTTGCCTTTCCAACAGATTGTCGATAACCTACATATTTCTCCTAGAGAGATATTTACTTTTCTTCGAATTAAACATTTCATACAGAAATGTGTAATTCCAACTTCCTCTCCATTGGCAAAGAAGTTGGAAAGCTTATTTTGTTACCGATCGGTTTCTAAGGTCACGTCTGTTGCTATCTCTCTGCTTGATGAATCCAAGATGTCCCCCCACAAATGGGAGAAGGAATTAAATTTAGTGATTCCCCTATATGATTGGCTTGTTTCTTTAACTTATACAAACAAATATATACACTGTCTTAATCTGACTGAATGCCATTTCAAGGTCGTACATAGATGGTATTTTACTCCAACAAGACTGGCCAAAATGTACGATACATACAATTCTACTTTTTGGAGATGTGGCACATATCCGGGCACATATATTCATATATGGTGGGACTGTCCACTAGTTAAATCGCTTTGGGCATGGGCATTTAATATCTTCTATACAGTTACATCTAATAAACTCAACAAAAACCCGGTTTCTGCCCTTTTACACTTGAATTGGCAAAAAAAGTTGCATAAATATATTTGTTTTGCTATTTACTGTTTTGTGGCAGCTAAAATTATTATTGCCAGACATTGGAAGTCCTCTAATCAATTCCACAAATCCCATTTGATTGATCAAATTATATTTCAATTGACAATGGAAAAAGATATCATATCCAATAGGACTGTTTTCTCCAAAAAAAAAAGAGAACGGTACTCTAACTGGCTCCAAAAGCTTTCTAACATTTACGGTAACATACTTTCGGTTTAGCTTTTCTAGTTTTACAGGACTATGGTCATTGACAATCTCTCGTGGGCTTTGTGTTTTGAATAGTATAAAAATATACAATAACAACAGCGGTTATAAGTGGGCGATTTTTGTATTGTTATACTGTAATAAGATTTGTATCTTTATGGCTTCAATACACTATTAGGAAACCCTCTCTGCTCTGTATAGGTGGAGGGTTATTTCTTTGTCTTGTTTTAGTTTTTTTGTCTATGTATTCAAATTATTGTTTACATATAGGATGATTTTTTATAAAATGCTGTGCCTATTATATTATTCAAATACATTTTGTAATGTTACATGTCTATTGACTCTTTTGAAACATTGGAAAAAAAATCTTTAATAAAAATTTATTAGAAAAAAAAAAGGTCCCTGGGGCACTTACTGTTCATAAATTGCTTATCTACATATTTAACTGGCTTCAAGCATCTTAAAATATGACTTAGCTACTGTTTATGTAACTGCTTACCCTGTGCCTACCCTTGCCTCATAGCACACAATGAGCCCCCTCTATGTACATTTGGGCTTGCTCGGTACTGCACTACTTGCAGACCGACACTGTATCCCTCTACTGTATGCATGGGCATCCCCAGGAATTTTTCGGGGGGGGGGCATAATTGGATTGACATCCATGCTCGGTCCCTTTTTGACATTGTCATGAAGGGGAGGAGCATAGTCATTATCACATAAAGCCAGGATGAATAGCATTTTCACAACTATCGTGTCAGGAATACATGTTTGTATTCCTGACACAATAGTGTTCCTTTAAGCAAATTAAAGGAACATTCTGGTCACCATAACAACTTCCTCTAAATGAAAATGCTATGATGCCAGGAAGCCCCTGGGTGCTCTCTTTCCTTTAAGGGGTTGCACCGCTCTCAAATGGTTTAACCCTAAAGGCTTCCTCCAGCTCCAGATTTCCAGGTCGCTCAGTGGTATTCGACTTCTGAAACAGAGTGTCAGGAAGTGCAGATTGACGTCAGGCATGGGTGCTACAGATTGGCTAGAGTGGTCAGTTGACGCTCTACGCCAATCACTAGTTCCTGGTTCATAAAAATGTTTTACTTTTTTACGAATGGGAACCTACTGATTGGCTTAGAGTGCCAGTTGACCGCTCTAGCCAATCAGCGGCACCCCTCCCCAGCGGCACTCTGTGCTTCCTGATACTCTGTAAATAAAAGTGAACACATTAACACTGACATTTTTTTACCTATCTCTGCCCCTCCCCCCCATATGCCTCACTTGACTGATCTGGAGGCTATCTCTGCCCCTCCCCCCCATATGCCTCACTTCCCTGATCTGGAGGCTATCTCTGCCCCTCCCCCCATATGCCTCACTTCCCTGATCTGGAGGCTATCTCTACCCCCCATATGCCTCACTTACCTGATCTCGAGGCTCTCTCCCCCCCCTCACTTACCTGATCTGTAGGCTGTCTGCTGGCTGCTTGTGTTGCTCCCCTGTGGATTCAGTCAGAGAGAAGCAGGGATAAGATGTAGGGGGAGCAAGTGCCCTCCCTTACCCCCCCCTGTGGACGCCCATGACTGTATGCCCAGTAAAGAGGTGACCATTTAAGCTCTATGTATGGTTCTCCATCCTCCTAGGCTGTCACGTATGCCTTAGACCGGCTTGGACATAGCCTCCTAACAACTTGTTAGCCAAGTCCCCTTTGCGACTTCACCCCAGCCGTCCTAAACAGTTAATATGTTTTTGGTGTTTACACCTTATACTGCCACTGGGGATGATTGCACAAGAATTACTTAATCCGTATCTTCCCTGTTCAGCCCGATCCTCGGTTCTATGTCCTTAGTACTAAGTACAATGATTTCCCCTCATAGCCGGTATGTTATGATCGGCTTCCAGCTGTGCTTGTTGCACACGCCCCCTTGCGTTCCAACTGGTAACACAAACAGTTCACTCCAACTCTCGGTACCAGCAGTTTTAGCTTTACTGGGACAAGTTTACCCTCAATTTTCTCACTCCAGCTGGCTGCATTCCGGGGGTTAATTGTAAATACAGGCTGTTTACTATGTGTTCATTATTGTTTCATGTTATTTAAACAGTGTCTGTTGTACTGCACTGTATCCTGAAGAAATTTCCATGAGAGAACTGAAACATTGATTCACCATGGCAGATGCCTGAATAAAAGATAAGGTTTTTTCACAATACTTCTAAGTCCTTAGAGTGCTATTGTTATGGGCAAATGCAAATATTGTATTCCTCAAACTGTGTACTTTGTCTTTAAGAGATATTGCAAACTGACAAGTTGTTAGAAATGGAACGTATTGTTTTTCATACATGTTTCTTTAAGCAATAACCTCTTACTTACCTTTAGTGCAGCGGCGTACATACCGCGGTCACAGGGGTCGCAGCTGACATCACTGCTGGGAGGAAGTGACTTCCTGGTCACTCCTCCCAGCTATCAGCCCGCGCGGGAGGAAGCAGAAAGGAAGAGGGAGTCAGAGTGGAAACTCTGACTCCCATCAGGCTGAGCCCCCACTGGACCCCAGGGAAAGTAACAAAAAGTCGGAAAAATGTTGTGTATGCGTGTGTGTGTGTCTCATGTATGTATGTGTGTATCTCTGTATGTGTCTGTATGTGTGTGTCTCTGTATGTGTATGTCTGTGTCTCTGTCTCTGTATGTGTGTGTCTCTGCATGTGTATGTCTGTGTCTCTGTATGTATGTGTGTCTGTGTGTGTGTGTCTCTGTCTGTTTGTCTGCGTGTGTATGTGTCTGTCGGGGGGGTGTCTGTGTGTATGTGTTTGTGTCTATGTATGTGTCGGGAGGGGCCACGGATCGGGGGAGAGAGGGGAGGGAAGGAGAGAGAGGCGAGGGGCCAGGAGGGGGCCCACTGAGCAATTTCGCACTGGGGCACCATGGATTGTGTGTACGCTTCAGTGCATAATATGTTTACGCCATTTTGTCCCAGACGAAATACAATAACAATAATTCATAAACAAGCTTCAAGGCTATGCTACGACTCTTTCAGTACATAATATACTGTGGTAACCCTAAGTAGATAAAGATGTTCAGACTTTAAGATGCCACTTTGTCTTAAGTCAGTGAAATTCCCCATGATGTATGCACCCTTAAGTTTTTATGGCCTTGTATTTTTGCCAAGTTAAGGGAGGTCCTAAAATGAAGTAAAAGAAGTGTTACTTTTTCATATATGAACTACGTTAACCCTAAAACAAAGACACCTAAGGTATAAATACGTGTACTTTTAAATGTTAAGGGACAGAGGAGCACTTGGAGACAGACGCTGCTCCATCTTAAAATGACAGAGAGGCTGACATGATGATATGTTCAGGAGGGTATGTTAATCTATTAATGATATTTGCAAGCATAACGTTTAATCGTATAAACTCTGCTATAAATTATTGTAATGGATTTTATATGTCTATATTTATATTTTTATATAATAAATATCTAAAAAGACAAAACTTTATTGATTCCAAGACAATCCTTATTTTATATTGTATTCTCAATTAATTATTTATATATATTATATAGAGGATCTCTTACTAACTATATAAAATTATGGCTAAGATATCTGTATGGTTAGCCCTCCTAAATTCTATGCTTTAAGACATTGTAGTGGTAAATAAGGGAACCAGCTGCGGTTACAATTGGCGCCCAACGTGGGGCTAGTACTTGGAAGCTTTAACTATAAAATAATAAATACCTAGGTAACCTCTTATACGTAAGAGAAGACACAATACTTTGTCATGGCACAAGTCTTAAAATATCAAGAATCTAATGAGCTATTTGTAGCCCAGACTCAGAGAGAGATCTTTATCATGAAGAGATGATTTTAATGTGAACCTGTACAAGGCACTTTAAAGGGACACTCCAGGCAGCCCTTTTTACTCACCTCGTTCCAGCGCCGGGAGCCTCAGAAGCATCATTGTTCCCTTGTGCGCATGCGCAGCTTCGCCGCACATGCGCACACACTTCACGCGGCCGTGAGCTGAGCTGACTGACAGCTCGACTCGTGGTCTTTGCCCACCCCCTTTCCTCTGCTGACAGGCAGGAGAGAGAAGGCGCGCACACAGTGCCTTCTCTCTCCTGCACACGTCAGATGTATTTTTCTGACGTGTACATGACCTTTTTAGGGCCATACATGATAGGAAGTCCCTCTGGTGGCCGTCTGGGTGACGGCCACTGGAGGTATTCCTATCAATCAATGTAAACACAGTATTTTCTCTAGATTGCCTGCAGGGAGCTATAGATCTCACCTGAACAACTACATTAAGCTGTAGTTGTTCAGGTGACTATAGTGTCCCTTTAAGTTCAGGTGCCAGGTACATATAATGCTGAAATTGTGGATTTTAATTAATATCATTAGAGAATATACATATTTGGTAAACTCCCTAATATGCCTAATACACCAGCACAGCATAGTCCATTAGTTCCAGGACAGTGGGTTTTAGGCAGGGGGATATGTTCTCTTTGTAGCTGCTTAGTATGCATGCACAGAAAAGATTGATGCAAGATATTGTAAAAAGAAAAGTGATAAGACAGAGTGATGAAAGACCTGCTATGATATTACTAAGAGATTTCGAAGTCTAATTCCAAGAATGCAAAGAGAATTACATTATGGTTTAATGAAAACATTCATGCCACAGAAGCAACAGACAGGACTTTTACTTATTGCATTACTGCCTTCTGGATTGTAATATCCACTTTACATGAAAAGTTTTATAAAACAGTGATAATTTCCATATTGTCAGTTACACTTGCTGTTGATTAAAAATCAGGAATTATAACAGCATAACTATTTTTGGAGTCTGGAGTTTCCAGCCAAGGTTGCGGAGATACAGAGACATATAAACATTGCTTCCATTCTAAGGAATTGATAAGTTGTTTTTTTTATTCCAAATTATGAACAACTTTATTACATACAGCCATAAAGAGAAAGACATGGCTTAAAAAAAAAAAAATTCATTGCAGTACAATGCAGCCTGTATCTTATATAATATATGCTAACTAGCTCATATCTTTACATAAACAGAGTTGCAATTATACTACCCTCCTAGAAAATTTGTTAATATCAAAAATATAACAGAAGGGCAACAGCTTGTTATTATTTTATTATTTATATAGCGCCATCAGATTCCGTAGCCCTGTACAATGGGTTATACATCCTTTGCTTCTCTAAATGCTCTGCAAAAATAAATATTTATAAAATAACTAAAAATAATATATATGCAAGATAAATCAGGGCAAAAAAAATTGTAACTATATAGGATCACTGATAACTTTTAAACTGAAATTGTTGAAAGGCTTATTTAAATAAAATGTTAAATACATTTACAGCTTTAAATGTAACCAAAAGATACTAAGTGATTTGTTAAGCCATGTTAGCCTAATTCACTAGAATAGCATAAGTATTCTACTATTTAAAGTGCACAATTCCTGCACATAATGACTTTGCTTACTCAGGTACAGACTTTAGTCTATTGCAATGGCAGAAGGATTAAAGTCAACCCATTTTAAAAGGTACTACTACTAAAATGGACGGCATAGCCGTCCAAGGCATTGCCAGCAGGGGGAGTGCCTGTAATGACAGGTACTCCCCCTGCTGTCTGAAAAAAAAAAAAAAGTTTAAAACAGTGTAAAATTAAATAATATATACTTAGATCATATATATAGAAAAAGGTACTAAAAGCAACAAGTGCCAAATGCACACACCACTCCCTGTGTATCAAAACAGGCAATAATAATACTTATACATGTACAGGTACATATAGGAGATGGTCCATATAAAAACCTATAAAGATAAAAAATAGTACATAGTATAGCCTGTATATACAGAAGAAGGAAATATGGAAGTGATTGAATACACTCACGGATTTCAGAGCCGTGCCAGGCTCTGTATATGGTGCCCAAGGGTGCCTCAGAAGGCTCATATATATGTTTATTATATTTATGATCTAAGTATATATATACACATATACACACACACATAAATACACATACACGGTCTAAGTGTATTTTAATATTAATATATATATATAATTATATTTATATCAAAGTACACGTACAATGATATTGACTAAATATATATAATTATCATTATATATTAATATATAATATTAAATAAATAAATATGTAAATACGTAAAAAATAAAAAAATATATACATGTATAATTTCGTTCTAACTATATTTTAAAATTTATATATATATTATCAAAATACATGTAGAACGAAATAGTATATCTATATACATAAGTATATACGTATATATCACTATATATATATATATATATATATATATATATATATATATATATATATATATATATATATACAAGTATAGTGGCACTCACCCTTTCAATGAATCAGTAAAAGACTGCCTTGGTGCAATCCCACGCTGGATATGTAAAGCAAAAAGGAAAGAGATGCACTCTCAGGTCTTTGTAGAAAAAAACTCGATATTATTTAATAACAGGTAACATACATTTGATCAAATGTATGTTACCTGTTATTAAATAATATCGAGTTTTTTTCTACAAAGACCTGAGAGTGCATCTCTTTCCTTTTTGCTTTACATATCCAGCGTGGGATTGCACCAAGGCAGTTTTTTACTGATTCATTGAAAGGGTGAGTGCCACTATATCTGTATATATATATATATATATATATATATATATATATATATATATATATATATATATATATAATTCTACGTATATATTTATGTAATAATTTTACATAATTAGGTCATTTTATTAATTACAATTTGCAGGACCTGCCTGACAACCCAGGCCGAAAGTTCAGGGAATTTAATTTGCTAGTACTATATTTAACCCTGTAACTTTCCAAGACACCATAAAACCTGTACATGGGGGGTACTGTTTTACTCGAAAGACTTCGCTGAAAACAAATATTTGTGTTTCAAAACAGTAAAATGTATTACAACGACGATATCGTCAGTTAAAGTGACAATTTTTGCATTTTTCACACACAAATGGCACTTACACTGACGATATAATTGCTGTGATATGTTTTACTGTTTTGAAACACTAATATTTGTGTATAGCAATGTCTCCCGAATATAACAGTACCCCTCATGTACAGGTTTTATGGTGTTTTCAAAAGTTACAGAGTCAAATATAAGGCTTGCGTTTCAGTTTTTTCACATTGAAATTCGCCAGGTTGGTAGTGTTGCCTTTGAGACCGTATGGCAGTCCAGGAATGAAAATTACCCCCATGATGGCATTCCATTTGCAATAGTAGACAGCCCAAAGTATTGCAAATGGGGTATGTTCAGTTTTTTACCACAAGGTCTCAAAGGCAACGTAACCAATCTGGTCAATTTTAATGTGAAAAAATGAAACACAAGCCTTATATTTGACGCTGTAACTTTTGAAAACACCATAAAACCTGTACATGGAGGGGTACTGTTGTACTCGGGAGACTTCGCTGAACACAATTATTTGTGTTTCAAAACAGTAAAAAGTATCACAGCAATAATATCGTCAGTGTAAGTGCTGTTTGTGTGTGAAAATGCAAAAAAAATCACTTTTACTGGCGATATCATCGCTGTAATACATTTTACTGTTTTGAAACACTAATATTTGTGTTCAGCGAAGCCTCCTGAGTAAAACAGTACCCCCCCATGTACAGGTTTTATGGTGTCTTGGAAAGTTATAGGGTTAAATACAGTGCTAGCAAATTAAATTCCCTATACTTTCGGCATGGGTTGTCAGGCAGGTCCCGCTAATTGTAATCAATTAAGATACTTAATTATTTAAAAATATTACATAAATATATATGTAGAATTAATATATGTATATATTATTATTATTATTTTATTTTTTATATAGCGCCAACAAATTCCGTAGCGCTGTACAAAGGGTAGACTAACAGACACATAATTGAGATCAGACCACTGACTTACAGGAACAGAGGGGGTTGAGGACCCTGCTCGATGAGCTTACATGCTAGAGGGAGTGGGGTATAGTGACACAAAGGGTTAAAGTAGGGGAATTAAATAGTTTGTTACAGAAGGGTTTATTGAGTGCTTGGTAGGTCATTTTTGACAGGTGCAGGAACAGAGTCATGGGGTGGGGGATGAGAAACCTGCTGACAGTTTAATTGATACGCTTTAATGAAGAAGTGAGTTTTCAAAGATTTTTTGAAGGAGTGGAGGCTGGGTGAAAGTCTGATTGAGGAGGGAAGAGAGTTCCACAGAATAGGTGCAGCCCTGGAGAAGTCTTGAAGGCAAGCATCAGAGGTGGGGATCCGGGCAGAGGATAGGCGTAGGTCTTGGGCTGAGCCCAGGGGTCTCGACGGGACATACTTGTGTATGAGGGAGGATAGGTATGTTGGAGCAGCATTATGTAGGGATTTGTAAGCAAGCACCAGAATTTTGAATTGGGCCCTCTATCTAACTGGAAGCCAATGCAGGGACTGACAGAGCGTGGCGGCGTGGGAGGTGCGACCAGTCAGGAAAATAAGCCTCGCAGCCGCATTCATTATAGATTGCAGTGGTGCAAGCTGGGAACATGTAAGACCAGTGAGAAGGGGATTGTGTATATATATATATATATATATATATATATATATATATATATATATATAATTTAAAAAATATATTTTTATTCATATATAGGTATATATATATATAGTGATATATACGTATATATTTATGTATATAGATATATAGATTATTTTGTTCTACATGTATTTTGATATAAATATATATATATTAATATCACAATACAGTTAGAACAAAATAACACACATCTATATATTTTTAATTATTTATTTTTAATTATTTTTAAAATTTTATTTTTTAACGTATTTAAATTTTTTTATATATTATATATAAATATATATATAACAATAATTATATATATATTTAATCAGTATCAGTCTATGTGTAATTTGATATTAATATATATATATATAATTATATATATATATATATATATATATATATATTAATAGTAAAATACACCTAGACAGTGTGTGTGTGTGTGTATATATATATATATATATATATATATATATATGATCTAAGTATATTATTTTGTTTTACACTGATTTTAATTTAATTTAATTTGAATTCAGCCAGCAGGAGGACTAACTGTCATTACAGGCAGTCCCCCTGCTGGCAATGCAGCAGCCAGCTAACCCGGCCATGTGATTGTGAGGTCCTCGCAAGGACCTCACTCTCACATGGCCGGGGGGGACGGAGGAGACTGGATCCGCCACGGGGGAATCCCTGGGATCCCAGGTGTCTCCCCAACCGCGATCACCGACGTGGGATCGCCGGCAACTGGGTAAGTAAAAAAAAAAATGGAGGGCGTACTATTACGCCCTGCGGCGTTTAGAGCCGCTTAGAATAGGGCGTAATAGTATGCCCTCCGGTTTTAAGGGGTTAGTTGTAAAAGAATTCATTTATCTATTTTGGTCCACTGTTCACTGATCTCTCAAGTCTCAGTCTGGTGTTCAAATTGTTTTTCTTACGATACATCGTGAGTAGTGATGTCCCGAACGGTTCTCCGCGAACGGTTCGCCACGGACTCATCATTGAGTAAACTTTGACCCGGTACCTCACAGTCAGCAGACACATTCCAGCCAATAAGCAGCAGACCCTCCCACCTCCTGGACAGCTCACTAAGAATGCAGCTTCAAAATGGATGCTGTCCAGGAGGTGGGAGAGTCTGGGAGGGAGGGTCTGCTGCTGATTGCCTGGAATGTGTCTGCTGACTGTGAGGTACAGGGTCAAAGTTTACTCAATGATGAGTCTGCGGCGAACCGTTCGTGGCGAACCGTTCCCCGAACCGTTCGGGACATCACTACCTCTTAGTCATGATAAAAGCAAAATATAAAAGGAGGGCTGCGCCAGAATAAACAGTGTCCAGTATCAATAGTTATTGAAGATAAAAAGTCCGACCTAAAAAGGTATCCTCTCTGTCGTCTTTAGGTACAGGAACGCGATCTTCAGGTAATATATAAAAGATAAAAGGAGAGAACAAACGATGGTGCAGAATGTACGGTTCAAATGAAGTAAAAAATTGATTAATGATAACGAACTCACAATTTCCAGAGCTTCTGTCCAGCTCTAGGGTAAAGCGCACACAGCGGTATAATCCCCGCTTATGGGATTTATGATGGGTTCGTCAGGGTATCCAAAACTCAAAGGAAACAGAAACAGCCAAATAGTGCTCTCTGTATAAGTGTATATTATAAAAGAGAATAAAAAAAACGTACTTACAAGTACAGAGCAGACCAACTGCTCTTTGATGTCAGCGCTGGTGGAATAATCCCCACCTATGGATTTCTTTGGTTGTCAGGAACTTGTAGAGATAGTATTAAAATCGGAATAGAGTGTATATAAAATATAACAATGAACTAAAACGATAAATATCCAGGGTACATGTATAAATAAAAGTAGTTGGGACTATCAGTTAACCAAAAACTTTAATATTTATTATACAAAATTAAATTTCCATAACGCGTTTCGTCTAACAGACTTTATCAAATGGAATATAATACAAAACCTGGCAGATAGTGTTTATATAGACATAGTTCAATTTAAAATTGGCGCCAAAAAATTTTGGCCAATCAGAATAAAGATACTTTTTTACATCTCAAATTAACAGTATTAAATTATTCTCAGATAGTAAATAGGTTAATAAGGCATATTCAGTGGTTTTTTATTAAAAACGAAGATGAGAAGGATTATAAAATTAAAAACACAATTGGTCATGTGATAATCATCACTTCCGGTTTTCGGCAGTATAGCCGCACGGCCTTATGGGTATTGTAGTTCCCCATAAGGCCATCTAAAAACGGAAGCTAGTAAAAGAGAACAAAAAAAAAAAAAAAACAAAGGATAGGGTTACTTGTGGGGAGACAAGTCCCATGGTGTTAAAATTACATAAAAACGAGCAGGGGAAAGTTGTAAAATATGCGGCACTTCCGAAAACCGGAAGTGGAACCGCAATGACTTGTGGGGCATGTAGTTGTGAATGCAGCAACCTATATAGGAAAAATAAAAAAAAATAAAAAAAAATTAAAATAATGAAAAGGAAAAGAAATAAGGGAAACTATTTGGCTAAAATCTTTTTTGCTAAAATCTTGTAATAGCTGATTTCCTACTAAAAAGCCACTGGTTAATGAGGCATATTCAGTGTTTTTTATTAAAAACGAGGATGAGAAGGATTATAAAAATAAAGACGACAGAGAGGATACCTTTTTAGGTCGGACTTTTTATCTTCAATAACTATTGATACTGGACACTGTTTATTCTGGCGCAGCCCTCCTTTTATATTTTGCTTTTATCCTGTATTTTAGGGTTTTGGGGGGATTCCCTTGTTGGGTTGCTGCCTTACTGGTTGTCTGGCGCTGTCTCTTTTCCTTTATTTATTTTACCATTGTTTTAATTCCCTCCTGAGATAGCTGCCTCCCAACCACTATTACTATGTCTATATTTGAATACAGAAATAAACATACAATTGATATAAATAATGTATTTAACACAGAAATGAATAGTTCTATCCCAACAACTTCCTATAATGTGAACCAACAAGATCTATTCACCAAACTAGAAAAAGCCCTATCCACAGAAATCAAACTAAAATGGGAAATTGCCACTCTTAAAAAATACATAGATGAGCAGATTACCCCACGTGGTTTAAGACTTTTAAAGTTACCTACCTCGGATCAAGAAGATCCCGAATTTATGGACGAATGGAACAGTAAATTAGAACTATGCACCTTCGGTCTAATGGAAACTCTAATAAATAAAAAAAGTAAAAAATTATCGATTTTAGATATTGAGATAAATGACCTCAAAGACAAACTCTTACCGTTTACTGATACTAAAGCATATAAACAAAATTCTATATTGATTCAAAACAAAATTGAAAAAGTAGAAGTCGATACGAAACACTTGAAAATTAAAAAATACATCAGAGATAAAACTGACTACTCTAATAAACAAGTTAGAACTTATCATCTTAGAAAAAAATATACCTCTGAAAATTATACCTCTAGGACCAATTATCATGATCAAAGGAATCACACAAGTAATTATTCTAAAAATAACTCATCACACTACCAACCTCCCAAATATCAAAATTATACTACACGCAAGCCCCACTATCAATCTCCACTAAGAACAAGACCTTCAAACACTTTTACTCAACAATATCACGCTCCCTCAAAATTGCCATACCAAAGCAATATTAACACATACCAACAAAAACCAGGAAAACCCTCCCACTACAACTACAAGTCTATACCTCAATCTCCAAAATACCACAATTCCTCTGGTTTCAACTTCTCACCTAAACCACAAAGATCACGTTATACCAATGATCACAATGAATATTCCAACTATTCTAAATCCCCCACTATCCCTAGTCACTCAAACAGATACCAACTATTGTCAGTTGATTCCGACTTCGATAATGAAGATCATTTTTTAGAAATTCGTACTCACCAACCCTCACTAGCCCAAACACCGCACCCATCACGTTCCCAAAAAAGGATTCTAAGCCTAGAGGAAGACGAAGTGGAAGACGGGAAAAAAAGAGAGAGGCTAGAAAGACCATAATACCTCCCAACAATGTGTACAGTGGTATTTTTAATCTTTCACACAAAATTTTAACAGCTACACAATTGTCGGTTCTTAACAGAGGTCTAAAATTTGCCCCCACATCCTCTTTTAATTCGTTTCAGGCTTTTCTAGATATAAACAAATTTATCCGAAAGGCAACTCTGAAAAGATTTTTTATCGGTAAAAATGATGAAGTACCAGTTTTATCTCCATTACCCTCAATAGATAAAGGTCCATTTATAAATACACACCTCAAAGAAAAATCTAAATTTTATCCATCTCATTGCAAATCGGCTCCTCTCACTCTATTTGAAAAACTTGTTCAAAAAGATTTTGAGAAAATCAAATATAATAAATATGACACTAATAACATCACAATAGGAGAAAGAAGGGCAATTAAAGAGCTTCAGATGGATAAAGAGATTGTAATAAAACCAGCGGACAAAGGTGGAGGAGTAGTTATCCTATCCAGTAAGATGTATATAGAAGAGGCTCAAAGACAATTAAATGATCCAAGTGTATATGAAAAACTCCCATCAGATCCGACTAAAAGTATACAAGTCATTTTATCCAATTTTTTAACTAAAGGTTTTAATTTAAATATTTTAAATAAACATGAGTTTAA